ACAATAAATTTTTAAATTTCCTCAGAACTTCTGGGACACCCTTTATATTTTATTAAATTCTTCCACTTTGATAATAGTTAGAAAATGTGAGAAAAAAAATACTTTTGCCTTTTTCTTTTGTTTTCTTCCTGCTGTAAAATTATACGACTAAATATACCAATCATCAGAAGATATATATATTCATTAGTGACATCTGTGTATTTCTTATTAAGCTTTTTGACTAGATTTATTATATCAAATATTCAATATTCAATCTACAAATTTTCAGTTCAATTTTAATATAATGAACATGACGCCATTTTTTTAAAAGAAAAAATTACTATGGCAACAATGAGGATAATGTCATACAAAGTTTTGAACAAATGCTAAATCAGATAATTTTCACATTGATTTTGCTTTAGTTATTGAATAACATTGGAAATGTATATAATATTTCATAAAAAATCATACATCGATATATTTTGTTTTTCTTAGATTTCAAGGAGATCACAGTGATAATATATTACATTGAATTTACCATTAAAACACAATGATAGTTTGTATATTCTCGTATTAATATATGGACTGGTTCACCTAAATCGTTCTCAAAAAACTATATTTATGGCACTATTTTACAACAGCCTGACAATGAAAGAGAGGGTGAGGGTGGGAGAGCATAAGATCGATTCCACACCCACACCCTAGTTGTTTTTTGTTTTTATAATAAAAAAGTAAAGGTCTACTGATAACTGTGCCAAACATGCGAATAAAATTTGAGTCATACTAAACACAAAGTTATACAGAACGATTTTCAAGTTTCACGGAACATTTTGCCACCACTGTATATTGTTAATGGTTTTTGTTTATATAACCACTTTATTATCTTAATGTAAGCCCGATGCTGATTTGTAGGAAACAATTTGTCTAATTGACAATGGCTACTCGCGCAATTGAGTCCAAAAGAAAAAAAAAATATATATATGAAACAGACAAATGACAAAAAGATTTTTTTTAATATATGATCATCTGGTATAAAGAATAGATAAAAAAGTTAGTGGAATCTTAATTAATTGATAACACTGGATAGTTTTTCATAACTCATAAATGAATTAAGAAAATTTTCTTCTTCACTACGTAATAATAAAATTTCATCTTCAAATTTTACTCCATGACGTTTACGAATTAGTGCTGTACGACGAAAACCTTTAGAACTATGACAATTTCTACACTTTGCAACTGGATATTGTGACGAAGTAAACACGCGTTTATGGCATTCAATACATTCAAAAAAATTTTGCTTTAGTTCATACACTTTCGCGGAATGTTGCCTCTGTTTACATAATATTGATTGTTTATACGCTGTATAATGACATAATTGACAAATAACCACTTTTATATCGCGTTCCATGATGTGAAGAAGTTTCTCTTCGATATTTTCTTTTTTCTTATGACATTCAAAGATTTCATCCAATGTCATTGGGCTATATAAATCATCATAAGATGATTTCTTATTCATTATATCAGTAAAACGTTTTTTATCAACTGAATCATTATTATTATTATTTGATATTTTGAGACGTTTTGATACGAGATTTGAATCTGAATCAGTATATAGTCGTTTACGAGAAGATGTTGTATCCATAGATACTAATGATTGACCTTTAATTGGTGTAATATGTTTTTCAGCAAGACGTTGTTTAAGTATATTAATTGCACGTTCTTTAGCATCATTATTTGCATTAGTGGGTTTTGTTAAATCAATAAGTTGTATTGGAGAAGATGCTAAAAAAAAGAAATTCAATTAAAATCTATCATTCTAAAAGCATTTACTCTTTTTAATGATAAATGTAGAATTTGTTGAGTTCATTGCTTTAGTTGTTGGTGAGGCTTTAACTTGACGAGTATCAGTTATTGACTGGCCTAAACCTTTATTAAAAACTAGTGTATGAATAATCGAACTCTAATAATCTTCCCAGGTCCATCAATCCGACATCGGATCTCATAGAATCTTGTAAGATCCAACTAGCGGACGGAATTTTATAGGATCGAATCACATCGGATTCCGTCAGGTCAATCTTAATTACTATAAATATTATTAGTTTTCATTTAATCAGTACTAGATTACGATCTTCGGATACTATCGAATCTGTTAGAAGATTCGATCGGATGCGAACACTACGAATTCCGATGCAATTTCGTTCCACAGATTCTGATAAGAAACAACTATCGAATTGATCGACTGGGTTTTGCTTCTTGAGTTCGTACACATATTAACGAAATATTTTCCATACCTGATATAACTAACATTGATTTTTCTTTATTATTGAGTACATTTCCAGTTAGTTTTGATGATGCATTGGGTTTTGTTAACGTTGATTTTGATGTATTTGTTGTCGATGAAAATGAACTACTGCTATTACTAGCAAGAGTGGCAATTCTTTTTTGTACAAATGAATCTGTACTTTGTAAATTCATTCTTGATGTATTCACCGTATTAAATTTATCATTATTATTATGTCGCTGATTATTTCTATCGGTCGTAGTACACCATTCTGTAGACATTAATGAAGGTCGATTATTAATTCCAGATAAATGATTGAATTTCGTTGATGTTAATTTACTTTTTATTTCATTTGGTTTATAGTTATGTAAACCGGTACGAATATGTGTTATTGGATTAATATAAAGCGAAGGTGTAATTGTTGATTGTATTTTAGATCCTGTTGTTAAACTACTGATGGTAGAAGATTGTGGATTCTTTGATGATTCTAATGAGCTAAAAATAAAAGATATCAATCTTTATCTTAAAATAGTAAATAAGGTCATTTCGAGCTCGATATATGTTCTGAAAATTTTACAAATGTTTTGACCGTAGTTAGTGAATGACAACAGGTTTGACATAGTATCGTCAAAAGATTGGCATTCATCCATGCTAATCGAGAGATCAGCATGCGGTTCTTTTTTCGTGATAAATATGATAGCCTACTCGGGAGTGTCTCATTTCAGGTATTTTCTTTATCCTAGGTGAATGCGAATCATATATCTTACATGAACATGCAAGTATTTGTCAAAGTAAGAGTCGTGTATGATCTCACATAATTTGCTCAAAAACTTTTAAAAAAATGCAAACATCTCGAATAACTTACATGTTTCTTGATGGAATATGATAACTTGAATCATATGTTGCAGGTAAACGTAAGTTTTTAGAAATTTCCCATGGATACAAGCGTGTTTTAGACTTTTGTGTTTGACTGGGTATTGGTATGTTTCGAATGGCTGAATCATCAGTTGAAGGGGTTGATGATTGTGCTCTATTACGATCATGTAATCGTGATTTGGAACGTTTATCTTCATTTTGTAGTTGTTTTTGTTCTTCCTCTGTTAAATTTTCTTCATCATGATGAATCAAAAGTGAATCATGTTCACGATATGATACAATTAAATCCTTACATTCATCCATTAATTTTCTTAAAACTTTATCTTTAATTCTATCAGCATCATATTTATCCAATGGATCATTACCAATATCTGGTTCAAATTGATAAAGTTGAGCAAGTTCATCATACGTGAAATGTCGATCAAGTTGTTTAGCATCAACTACACGTTGTGACATAGCTTGCTTAGTAATTTGACGTTTATAAATTTTTTCTTCCATTGTACCCTTACCAATAATACGATATACATAGACAGGTTTCTTTTGTCCCAATCGATATGAACGAAACATAGCCTGAAGATCATGTGCTGGATTCCAACTAACATCAAAAATAATCACACGATTAGCTGAATAAAGATTTATACCAACTCCACCAGCCATTGTAGATATAAGAAATAATCGACCTTGAGTATTTTCAGGTTCATTAAAAGCTTTTATATAAGTTGATCTTTGTTTTATTGAAACATTTCCATCCACACGAAAATAATCAATGCCCTTAATCCATTTTGGTGATGATGCTCTTGAACTCCAATGCTCAAGCCATTGTTCAATATAATCAAGTGTAAGAAGACTTCGAGTAAATACCAATAATTTATCACCAATTGATTCACATTCATTTAAAATCACTCGAAATAATTCAAATTTACCTGAAATTTCAATATCAAATTGTGATCGATCTACATTGAACATATCATACCACCATTCATTTTTCATTGCTTTCATTACTTCGTCCATTCGATCAGTAACTATTGAATCATCATCATCATCACTAGTTAAGAAATATTCACTAATTGTCGATTGAGAAGTAGAACTGGTAATTGATTGCGTAAACTTGTTTTTTGATCTTTGTTTAGCATGTTTTTGAGTTCGTGATCCTTCTTCATCATCTTCAATATCATCTGAATCATCTTGGAAAAATTGATCAGTTTCAACTTGATCTTGATCTTTACGCTTTTTATAATAACCATCAATAAAATGTGGCTTGAGAAGCCATGGATGTGTCCAGATTTTCATCAAATATTGATAGTCACTGAACAATTTAGCCACATTTAGTCGACATGTTGGATTAATATTTTGAATTGATAAATATGTTCGATAGAGTTCTTCTTGTAATGGCATACATTTAATTTTGACAGCATATTCAAATTTTGGTGGTAAAAATGAACGAAGTACATCAAAATCACGTCGATGAATAATAGTTTTTAAACGTTGATTAAGTATATATGCTTGGCGTCGCATATATGCAACGCTATCTGGTGAACTATCTTTATGTTGGCCAGCTTCGATTGGTTCTCGAAAATTTTTATCAAAGTCATCTTTACTACCAAGATAATTTGGTTTACAAAAATTGACCATAGCATAATATTCTTTTAAATTATTTTGTACTGGTGTACCAGTCAATACAATTCGACGTAATGTTCGTACTTGATTTACCATACGAGTAATAGCGGTCTTGGAATTTTTAAGCACATGACCTTCGTCACAAACAATTAAATCTGGGCCGGGTGAACAGAGATATTTTTGATATCTTTTAATATCAGCTAGTTCAACTTTAGTTTTCATTGCCTTCTTTTTCCATTTTCTATCACTGTATTTAGTTAATTTTTGTTTTTTTCGTGAAGTTTTAACTTTTGCATCAGATGCATTATTAGTTAATAAACGATACATTTCATAACCCATTATCATAATACCACCATTTTCATGCCAATGACAAAGAAATTGAAGGCGATCTTTTTTTGCTATATCATCAGCAGTAAATAAATAAACATTGATATGTGGTTCAAGTTTACCTATCCATTGTTGAAACTCATTTTTCCAATTATTAGCTGTATTTAATGGACAAAGAATTAATGCTCGATGAATATAAGTTAATTTCGTATAACAAAATAATGTATGAATTAGTGTTATTGTTGTAAATGTTTTACCTAAACCCATACAATGAGCTAAAATAGCACCTGAACCTCCTCGATCTTCATTCGTTTCTTGATTAATACTAGCTGCAATTTGACTAGTTGATTTAAATACTTGATTCCAAAGAAATTGAATACCCTCGATTTGATGTTGTTTCATATATTGAACAAGCCTTAAATCAACTTCAATAATAATATTATTGGTATGTGGATCTGTTTCAAGGATTAATTTAGATGCAACTGGTAATTGTTTTTGTTCATATTTAGTCATTATATCACCATTGTCCTCTTTTTGCTTTTGAATACGTTCGAAATCAACCAATTCTTCACCTTCTTGTTGTGTTTCAATATCTGATTCATCTTCACTGGTAATAGTGCCATCAGAATCGAAAACGACTTCCATTTTGGCTTTCTTAATTCGTAATACAAGCTTTAATGGTATTAAATTATATTTTTTTTAGAGAATATGCTACTTCATACACGTGTATATATACGATCGAATATGCGCAAGAGAAAGAATATTCCTATATAACTAAAGGGAATAATCCTAGTGAATACAACAGAATGCAAGAAAAATATTTATATATGAAATATTCTACACCATCTATAGAAAGGAAAGAAAAGAGATAACAAAAAATAAATAAGGATAGTCTTTGTCAAGATACCACAATGAGGAAAAAACTCGAGCTAGTAGCGATACTGGACTGCCCGAGCGACATTTTCGTCAAACGTAAAGAGAACACGTGAGCAACGTTTAAAAGAAAATATGGACGTCGTTATAGAGGCACACATGGTGAATCTGTTTGGTAACATGAATTAGAACGCATCTTATTATATTAAACTACTCTTAAAAATATGTCAATAACTGAGAAAAAAATTAATCTAGTACAGAACTTTTTATAAATACAAACAGATGTCGCTTGTTATCGAGATATTCCATTTTTCAAAGAATTCGAGTTATCCTGTAAGATAAGTCGACTTATCCGGCAGGATTAGTCCCTATTTTCAATTGAGATATTTATACTTTTTCACGTAGTATTTTGATTTATCCTATAGGATATAACCCGAAATACGCAGAAAAGTAGTGTCAGTCATAAAAGTCGAGTTATAACCATAGTAGTAGTTGCTTCTTTTAGCTGAAATATTTTTACTCGCTCAACTACGTAGTATTTCGACTTATTCTATGAGACAAGTCGTCTCTTATGTTTAAGCAAGTATAAGGGCGTGTCAAGCTACCATGACGTACGTTTTGTCCTTGTCCTAGACAATCATGAGATGGCAAAGAAATATCAAATCAATTTTAAAATTGAATTCAAAACAAATTCATTTATTAAAATCAAATTTAAAGATAATATTACTTCGTTGTAGGGTGTGACTAGCTAGCATAATCTAGATTTCACTTCCCCTACATAGCTCATTAATTAATATGATTATTATAATAGTGTATTACTTTATTGGTATTCTACGCAATACAGAATTAATTTAGTCTAGTTGATAAGAAGTATTTGAACTTCATAGTTTTATATTATAAATTGTTTAAGAGAACACCCATGACAATATCGAGGAACCTTCTAATATACGAGGCACTAGACAAAAAATTAATTTTTGATTTGCCTGGTGCATAGCATTTGAAAGAACACGTTTTGAAACTAATAAATCCAAATTTATAGCTCATTTGGATGTACTATAACAGAGTTAGCCTAGGTCGGCCTTTTATCACTCTCAATCTATAACTTCCTGATATAATCCATCGATCAGGTACTGATGTACTGACATTTAATGTTAATGAGAAATGATTAAGTTGATCGAATATAGATGATAAAAGTGAAACAGATCTATAGAAACTTCTTTTATCCCAACAATTCATACTAAGACGAGGTAAACGGCTAAGAAGACGACGATCAACAGCATCAGGCAATCTAACAATATTTTGTTTTATTTATATTTTTACAAATAAGAGAAAATCTTACTTACGATATAACATTACATTCATCTTCATTATAAATCGTCGAATCGTGTATACCAAAAGAAAGATTTACAATGAAAGGTATACATTTCACTAAACCTTCTAAAAAATATATTGTATTTATACCAACTGTTAACATATAGAGGAAAGTTGTATTCGGAATATCTGGTAAAATCATCCTTGTTAATACTGATGATGATTCTACTATACGACCATTTTCTATAGGAAAAAAATCAAACGGCAGTTGACATATTTGTAGTTGTGCCAATTGTGAACATACCTTATATTAGAAAAATAGAAAAATTAAATCTTATAAAGTGCATAAAATATTTTTCAATGTTAATGACGCTGTTCTTTCAGAAACCTTTATGTGATAATATACAAATTTTTGTTTCATATGACAACTAAAAATTTATCTCATTTATTTTTAGATTTTTCGATCAAACAAACATTTTCCAACTCCTTAATAGGTTTAAGTAAAATTCCTTTTCTTACCTTAGCGAGATATGTTCCTTACACTGGTTGATCATGGAGACCAGGGTCTGCCTCATCGACCGTTAAAGTATATAATTCTTTTATTAAATGATTACGCAATAATTTATTAAATTCATCTGCTGTAATACCAATCAGGTGAAGATGTCGAACTAATCTTGATTTATGAAATCGAAGAGATGATGAAACAAGTGACCATCCATTAATAACATTATTTAATCTTAGACGTAATGAAACAACTCGAGCTCCTATTAATTTAAGTGCATTTTGGCACAATTCATTGAATATCGATAATGACGTCAAATTATCACCAATATCTATGTGCCACAAATACTCACAAATAAATCGTTCTTGAAAAATGTTTATTCAATGGTAAAAATGATTTAACAATGTTAACTGGATATAAATAAGCAAAAATTTCAAAAAGAACATCGACAGGTAAACATTCAAATGTAGTTGAGATCATTTTTTTCGTGCGTCTCACCGATTTCTATATATATATGTTGTAGGCAGAATTAGAATTCCTATTTTGTTATATATGTCAGTCAACATAAGCGAGAGAAAAAAAAACTCAATGATATTATTATTTATTTAATAGATATTTTCAAACGATAATACATTTATATTGACTTGTCGAGCAATTCAACGTTATTATTTGAAAATTGTTCAATTTTAAATGTTTAATTTCAATGGTAATTAAAAGGAATGCATAGAACTCAATCATTTTCGATATAGAAACATTATTCTTTGTATTTACCCAACAAATTAACATTTTTTTGTATTCTAAAGAACGATAGAACAATATTGCAAATTTTAATAACTAGTTAAAAATGATGTATCTAATTTTATATATGATCGCCCTTATCTATTGTTCGATTCACCATTTGTTCTAATATAGAATAATGATTAGGCATACAAAAAGTCGAACTCTAATTTAGTTCACATAAATTGTAACTGATGGGACAGTTCTTTTATCGATTAACTGAAAATGACTGTATTCTAGAATAAATGTGAATCTGATTCAAATTCATCAAATCCGAACATTTAGATTCGACAGAGACCTTATATAAGTGCAGTTAGATTTATTTGACAATATATTTTTTCTTTTTCTTTGTTTCTTATATAGGAATAACAAATTAAAACACATCAAAAATAAGATTTATTAATGCTGAATAGTGATGATTAGGACAACGTTTTGATGTTGAGTCATATGGGTATAGAAGAATTCTTTTTATGAGGTAGTTTATACTATACACTTCATTTAAAATGATGAATGCTGTTTGCGCAATCTCTTGTGGGATAAAATTGTGAAACACAATATAACTGTTAAAATAATGCACAAAAAGATAGTCTAATTGTGTTTATTATGGAACAGAATTTCTCGACTCTAATCCGTCAGATTTACAAATCTTCAGCGAATAAAATTTCATTGTCCGCATTTTGCCTATTGCCATAATTAAAGTTCTTCAATAATATACTATTGTGTTTAATTTGATTACAATTTTACTAATATTCAGTCTATATTTGCCGTTGCGTTGGAAAGGGTGTGGGTGGGCGTGGGTGGGTGTGGGTGTGAGTGTGGGTGTGGGTTTGGGTTTGGGTTTGGGTGTGGGTTTTGATGTGAGAGTAGTTGCGAATATTACACCCACACCCACACCCACACCCAAATCTTGAAAATCCCTAAAAATTTTTCTAGTCGACTACCTTATCATGATCTATGAAAATTTTTTGAGATTTAATAGAAGCCCCCTCCAGAAATTATAAACGGTAGACAAATTAGAAGTCCCCGGAGGCTTCTAATATGGGAAGGGGTTTACTGTGAATTGAATACATAAAAGTTTGTTTTTTGTTATATTATAAAAAATTTTACACATCAGTTTTTTTCGAAAACTACGCTTGCCCCCCCCCCCCCCCGAACACCACGGTTGCCCCCTCGGAACATAAAACCTAGATAAAACACTGAATATTATAATACTTATGAATCGGATATTCTCATTGTCTTGATGAGTGGATATGAGAGTGATTTAGTATTAACATTCATACTTAATTATACCACTGTTTCTAAGTCAATTAAAGAAGGTTTTATATGTACAATACTATTATATTGTCAAGATTTCAATTACATGGCTTGTTTTTTATTTTAATTCCCAGATTTAAACGGACATATACCATCAAGAACAACATCAACAATTGAAATTTATTGAACTTTTCTACAAATCATCCTACTCACAACAACACTCTTTAATATATGTCAATTTTTTATATTATTAAACATAAAATGTTCACAACATACAGAAAAATAATGCATACACAGATTTCCCATATCATTCAAACCGGTCGAAAACCGCCGGTTAATTTCGGTTATTTTTAAAACCGGTGAGTTAAGAGCAGTTAACCTCGGTTAATCACCAGTTTTTAGCCTGTAAAATACTGACAACAAAGGAAATAATCGCTCTTAACTCACCGACTTTAAAAATAACCGAAATTAACCGGCGGTTTTCGACTGGTTTGGATAACATGGATTATTACGTAAAGCACATTTATTTAGCTATGGCTAGAATAATTAATTGAATAAATGATTATTGAAGAAGAAATCGTTGCACTCTCTTATTGTAATAGTCAGAAACATATAAATATGTTTCAGTAGGATCAAGTGCTACATCACCAGGAAGTGACAGAAGTGTAGTGTTACCACCTGCTACACCACTTGCACTGCCAGCTACGACCGATCCTTGTGTATCACCAATATTCCATTTCATTACACGATTATTGTTACTATCAGCAACATAAAGAGTTTGACCATTGCGTGTAACCCAAACACCTGAAGGATTATGCAATTGATTAAGATTCGATCCTGCTCCATTTCCGCCTGCGACTGTTATTCCTGTTCCATTACCACCTATTATGAATTTCTGAACACGATTGTTATCTTGCTCAGCGACGTATAAGGCTGATCGATCTTCATCTAAATGTATAAAATGAGGCGACCATAATTGATTACTACCAGTGCCACTATTTCCTGGATTTCCAGCAACAAGTGTACCAGTCGTACTATTTGGTGCCCATTTTACGATCATATGACAATGAGTTAATGATGCGTAAATATTACCAAATCGATCAACAGCTACACCCTCAACTGAACATAATCCTGTAAAAGAACAGGATGAAGGTGAGTAACCTGACGATGGAATGGTAGTGAGATTCATTCCCGGTTGTTGAACGTATATTATACCTTGATTGAAAGACCAGTCAGTCATATATATGTTATGCGAGCTATCAATAAACACATCTTCAGGTGAGCTGAACCCACTGGCAAGAATTGTAGATCCAATACGTGAGAATGGTGAAAATGATTGAAATCTAAGTCCATCGTAATCGCCTACATAGAGAGTTTCGTCGGATGGTGAAACATAAATACCCCAAGGGCCTCCTAAACCAAGTGCACCGCCATCTGTACTACCATTGCAAAAGCCAGCAACTGTCTGACCAATACCAACCACTGGCACTACAAGTACAAAGAAAGAATTAAAATTTTCTGTTCTTATGTGTTAGAAATGACTTACAAGCAGAACATCGATAAGTAAAATCACAACTTGGTTGACATGAAAGATTAAGATCTGCTCGACAAGCATCTGCATTTGAACACAATTGACCTTGAAATAATTGTGTCATACACATTCCATTATTCCAATAGGTAAATGGTGGACATTGACAAGTTGAACTGTTTACATTACATATTTCATAACGACTTTGATCACAATGACTGCATGACTGATTGTGAGAGTTAACATAATTACTAGGAGAGATTTGAACTGAACCAACAGATGATCGTGGTTTTGATGGTGAAGCAACAATTGAACCTGTTGTGTTATCCATTTCCCATAAACGACATTGTAAAGAATCAGCATCAAAATCAAATGTTCGACAAGTAGCACGTTTGTTACATTCAGCAGAACAACGTAGCATATTCTTTGTTGTAAATGTAAGTAGAGGAGGTTGAGAAGTATCAATTGGAATAAATTCATTTCCTAAAGCACTGATTTTGATCTTCGATTCATCTTCTATACTTAGATGAAAAGATAATAAGAAACCAAAAATAAGAAAGAACTGCATCTGTTGTAAGAAACTCATAATGATATGAATAAAACTATCTGAAGAAATATTATATAGGTTTGTAGAGGAGCTACTAAAAAAAAGTAAATTATCATGATAGTCAATATTTTATAGTTAAATGAATGTTGTAGAGTATGACATACTATTTTTATTATTTTATTTGCACAAAACCTCAACGATCCTTAAAAAAGTACACTAGATTTTGAAGAAAATATAAGTTGAAAAGTATAGTTATTTTTGTTTGTCTGAAAAATAGAAATATCATGATCAAAACTACGCATGTAAAAAAATAGAGAAAAAACTAGATTATAATCGATTAAATAATGATTAAAAATCCATTTAAATCATACACCTTTAATCAATTTTTTTCTAATAAAATATGATTAAAATCATGAAGAATCGATTATAAAAAAGAAATTGTGATTATATTTTCTTTTAATCACTCCATAATCGCTTCAAAATCGATTCTTAATCAATTAAAAATCGATTGTTAATCTGTTATAAATCGATTAAAATTCGATTTAATCGGTGAAAATCAACCGAATTTTTTCCTTCAAGTTTATCTTCTATAACACATCAGAACTTCATTATTTTTATGATGCATCATAGAAACATAACTATCTGGGACGAAAATTAGGGTGTGGGTGTGGGTGTGGGTGTGGGTGTGGGTGTGGGTATAATGGAAATGAAAAGACCAACACCCACACCCACCAAAACCCACACCCACACCCACCCACACGCACACCCACCCCACACCCACCCACACCCACACCCACACCCAAACCCACACCCACCCACACGCACACCCACCCACACCCACCCACACCCACCAAAACCCACACCCACACCCACACCCACACCCACACCCACACCCACCTACACGCACACCCACCCCACACCCACCCCACACCCACCCACACCCACCCACACCCACACCCTCAAGTATATAAACGCATATTTTGTATTAGAACGATGCAATTTTTGAGAAGAAGAAATAAATACAGGTGTAATTCCATCAGCACATATCTCTCTTCCATCAGAAATCGTCACACAAATAAATAAATTCTTACCGTTTTATTTAAACATTGCTATTGTCCTAAAATTAAAACTAAAAAAGAAGTATTGCAAATAAATAACTTATTACCGTTTCATTCAAACATTGATATTGTCCTAATATTAAAGCTAAAAAAAATATGTCAAATAAATAAATTATTACCGTTTCATTCAAAATTTGATATTGATCTAATGTTAAAAGATAGAATAAAAGTATTTCAGATAAAGAAATTCTTACCGTTTTATTTAAACTTTGATAGTATTCTAAAATTTAAAAAAGATATTTATTTCATTGAACAAATTCTTGCTATTTGTTTGGATGTTAATATTATTCTAAAATAAAGGAACATAAGTTATCTATAAGCAAATATTACTCGCAGTTCATTTTAAACAAATGAATTATTACGATGCATCAAATATCTCATCCATTCTTCCTCTACCACTATATGTTTTACCAATTAATATAGCTGGACATTTTTCACAAGACCAACTTCAACACAATTTATTTTTAGCACCATGTACATTCAAAGATCTTATAGAATTTTATTTATATGAAAATCGACATTATTTGTATCATAATATTCAAGTCATTTTTCTGAATCAAAATGGTTAGAAATTAAAAATATTCTTTCTAATATTAAATGTATACCAACAATACAAGGTATGAAATTACCAAATGAATCATATATTCCATCTCATATGTTAACATCTGATTCACCTGCTATTACGCTTAATATTCTACCAGATAAGACAACAACAGAAAATCAAAGAAATATTAATAATCCCGATGAAAATCTTGTTTCAACATATTTTCTTAAACAAATTGGATGTCGAATGTTAAATATTCAATCGATTATTAAATATTGGCAAATGAATTCTAATAATAGAACAGAATTAAATCAAGTAAATATTCAAACATTAATCAAAAGTTTAATGAAAGAACGAAAATATATGACTGATGAAGATTTTAAAGCTTTAAAACAAAGTCGATTTTTACAAGGTTAGTTTAATTAATTTTTTTCAAACAAACTATTTTCTCTCTTTATAGGAAGGGTGTGGGTGTGGGTTTGGGTTTGGGTTTTGATGTGAAAGTAGTTGCGAATATGATATAAATATTACACCCACACCCGCTTTTTCAGGCACAGAATTAGTCGGATTGTCAGCTGCAGAAACAGAGAATCCACGAAAGGCGATTCCTCGAGCAACGAAACAAGTCTTTTGGAGAATTACAATTATCTATGTTGTCTCATTGATATTGATTGGCTGTTTGGTGCCTTATACATCGTCACACCTTCTGTCTGGATCATCGAGCTATGATGCGTCCGCATCTCCTTTTGTAATTGCCATTAAAGATGCAGGTATCAAAGTGTTACCTTCGATATTCAATGCTGTGATTCTTTGTGCTGTTCTATCAGTTGGCAATTCTTCTGTTTATGGAGCGTCTCGTACACTTTGTGCACTTGCTGAAAACAATCAAGCACCGAAGCTATTTACTTATATCGATCGTAAAGGACGTTCACTTTCCGCTCTTGCTCTGTCGATAATTATTGAATTTATTGCGTATGTCAACTGTGCAAAAGTTGGCACTAAAGTATTTGATTGGTTACTAGCTCCCTCTGGTTTATCGGCCTTTTTCACTTGGGGTTCTATATGCGCTTGTCACATTATGTTTCGATTAGCATGGAAAGCACAAGGCCACACTTTGGATGAACTTGCTTTTGTATCACCTTTTCGTATAGTGGGAAGCTGTTTTGGTCTTTTACTCAACATTTTATGTCTTATTGCTCAATTCTGTATAGCTGTGTCTCCTATTCGTGGTTCTGCAAGTGCGAAATCATTCTTCGAAGCTTATCTTGCTGCTCTACTTGTAATTGTTTCCTATATCGTATGGAAAATATGGAAGAGAACATCAATTGTACGACCTAGTACAATCGATCTCGAAACTGAAAGACGTATACTCAATGTACAACAGTTGATCGATGAAGAAAGAGCAGAACGTAGAGCCTGGCCAATATGGAAAAAAGTGTTTTACGAATGTTGTTGAGTCGTTCTTTTATTATATAAGATGATGTGTGTTTGTAGTTAGTATATTGTAGATAGAAACAATAGCCTTTGTAATACAGTGACAGTTTATATATTCTTGAAAAAATAAAAGCACTGACAACTGATATATAGCACGTCAGCCTAAATGAAGAAAAAAGTATGCAAAACTAAATAACACCTATGTAACATAAATATGAAAAAAACTCTGAGAGGATACATGTAGAACATAACAAATCTGAAATAACAAAATCAAAAAAAGCAACAGACCATCTTTAAGTTTTGCTGTATTTTATACTATCCAATAACAGAATGGCTGCTGATATTTAGCTGAAAAACTATGTTGGTTGATCTGTAATGAAGTTTCTAGGCATACTTAAATCTTTGCATCAAAAGAATGTTGGTACTCCTCATGTTTCATCTTGTACTATGAAAACGAGAGAGTAGAATGCTGACAACTAAGCAATCTTGCTAAAAGTTGCGAAAGAATTTGAAATTACAATGTTTTTGTAAGAAGAGAAGAAAAATAGAGACGCCTACATATTTTCGGACCATTAGCAGGTTGTTGGATGAATGTAAAGTGCAGAATAACGAGAAAATAACGTAAATTCACTGTTTTTCTTTTTTGATTAATGTACAATTCTTCCAGTAGACCAGTGTCGATATAAATATAATCACACTATAAAATTTACATATTCGTTGCTTTCAGAATCATATGAAAAAATTGTGATACTATCGAACGAACAATTTTTTTGTTCTACACATACTCATAATATAAGTTGTCGACAGTCACCTTTATTCTTTTGCGAATATTATGAGAGGAAAAAGAAAAATAACATGTGACTATTTTTGTTTTGCTCGATTGATAAAGAGAACGTAAATATACATATTCATTTCAGTATTTTTTATTGTAAGTAAGTATTAAAAATCTACTTCTCTGTTAATAATATACCTCAGAACTCAGATTAGATTCTATAATTATATCTATTCCTACTTATTAAAGATTACAGAAATATATTATCTATCAAGGTCTTATTTTATATACTATTGCTTATCGAAATGGCCACACCAAAGAACTGTTCAAAATGTACGAAAGGAAAAGGGTCTTTCTTTTGTATTGCATGTGAGGAATATTTTTGTAAAAACGATTATGGTGATCATCGAGTAATGATGGATAATGAATTAGATCGATTTATTGAAGATTGCAATACACTTCAAGAGAAAATTAACACAATAACTCAGAATAAAAACTTTGATAGTCTACTACTTACAGAAATTGACAATTGGGGGAAGACAATTATTGATAAAGTTAAAAAAGTCGCTGTACAAGTTCGAGAGCAAGTTATCAAACTAGCGAGCGCAAAAGAAATGGAAACAAAATCAAAATTTGAGAAATATCGTCAAAATCTCAATCAACTAAAAGAAACCGGTGATTTTGTCGAGCATGATTTGAAATATCTCGAACTGACAGTTTATCAACTTAATCAAGATCTAAAACGATTAAATCAACCACTTGAATTCGAGTTATGTAAAGAGGGTGTGGGTGGGTGTGGGTGTTGGAAAGAAGAGACACCCAAACCCACACCCAGCCACACCCACACTTACACCCACACCCACACCCTGATAAACCTGATGAATAAAGATATTCATGAGTCTGTTAACGGATTAAACAATATGCAAACATGATTATATAAACAAGCAGAAGACAACTGGAAGAAAAAAATCTTTACAAAAAAATTCGTCAACGACAACGGCATATAGAAATGCATATATTAAACAAGATTCAACTTACGAAATATTCAATTCGAGCAGGAGACTTGTAGAATTCTTCTGTAAACAATACAACTGCTCGTAAAATATTTTTCAACTGTACATGATGGTATAGAATTTCTGCTAAAAGGTTGAATTGTGATCAGAAGTTTGATGAAAAAGAAGTATTACATGTATATACTAATACAATTGTGATACACAAAATTAAAATTATGAATCATTGTTGGTTTAGTTGTGCTTATGAAACAAAATTTGTCACCAAAATTTTATTTCGATTTTAATTATATTCTTAATTTCTGTTTGCTTTCATATTGAAGAAAAAGATATTTTCATATCACCTCGTTCTATTGGTGAAAATCGAAAATCTCCCGTCATTTACGCTTTTAATTTATTTAAAAAATTGTTATACACACAAACTTTTTAGTCGTAGTATAATAAATTAATATATTTTTTTTTCTTATATGTAATTTATTTTTCGTATTTATCATTACTGTATTTTTTCTTTTACTCTAAAACATTTTTTGCCTCTCATTTCTACACTTATTATCAATCAAATACGTATTATTTTTAAAAAAAAAGATAGAAAAACAACGAAAGGTAATATTTTGTCGCATTATAAAATTACGAAGCAAATCATTTGATAAAACAAGCAAATAGAACCAACATATACACGTTTAGAAGTAAATGCGTATCATTAAAATATTATTTATCTGTTTTCAAACACACATATTTTTTTTACTGTAATTTAAAAAATAAATTTATTAAAACCATGATTTATATTAATATTCTTATTCTTAATTATATTTTATTTGATTGTCCATTTGAAAAATTGTATAAAATATTTATATTACACCGCGTGCATAACATTATAGGTAAAATGTTTTACTGGATTCTTAAGAAACAGTTGAATATAATCAAACTATTATTTCAGATTTTATAAGCATCTTTAGTATTTTATATTGACAATATCTGGTATTATGGGTATATATGAACTATATTCTTACATTAGTTTTCCTTAGATATAAATATAATCATTTAATTTCAGTCAATAAATTATTTCATTTATATTTAAAATAAATTGAATTGATTTTTTACATATCATTTTAGCTCAACATCCTCAAATTTTACCTATCTGGCATTATGATGCAGGCAAACATCAATGGAGAGCTGATGATTCAGCAACAACACATCATCACATAAAACCAAAAGTACAACGATTTCTTCGAGCTATTACATATAATATTTCGTTCAGTAAAGAACATAAACAATTACGTTTTCAAGGTCTTTCTTCAATTCTACAACATTCCAAAGCAGATATTATATGTTTACAAGAAAGTAAATAAAACATTTAGATTTCTAATAAAAATATTATATTTCAGTGACAAAATCAATATTGGAACAATTAATTTCTGAACCATGGGTACAACAACACTATTTCGTTAGTGATATTGATGGAAGTACATTTTTAAATGGACAAGAAAGTTATGGTGTAGTCATGTTAATTGATAAATCATTATATTTACGACGACTTCTAGCATGTCCATTTCATACAGAACAAGGAAGACAATTATTACTTGCGGAAATTCAATTGAAAACAGAAAAATTATTAGTAGGTACTGTTCATTTAGAATCAAAACAAGATAAAGAAACTATTCGATCACATCAAATACAAACTTGTCAATCTGTATTCAATAAATATGCAATCAATCAACCAAATGTAACAAGATTATTAATGGGAGATTTTAGTATGAATGCCGTTGGACCTGAAAATCTTAAACAAATGAATATTCTTAAAAATTGGACAGATTTATGGGAAAAATTAAACGGAGCAAACAATCGTGGATGGACTTATATCAATGCAAGAGTAGATCGAATTATGTTTCAAAGTTTACGTACAATTCCAATTAAAATACGAATGATTGGTATGACACCTATTGGACAAGCTCCAAAACGAAAAAGTTTTGCGCAAACTATATTAAGTATTTTTTCACTCGATAAAAAAAATCAAGATATGACACAGATATTTCCATCTGATCATTTTGGTTTAATGGCTGATTTTGATCTTAGCCGTATTTAAAAAAAATCGATTTAATAGACATTTATTAATTCATATTATTAACCAAATAGTGTTTAGTTTAGATATTAAATTTAATATTTTATTTTTATAATATTACATTTTTATTAAAATAACTATTATTATGAAATATAATACTAGAAATAATTGTTCGAAATAAAAATAAATAAATATTTAAAAAAAAATAGAAAATAATGTGACGTTATGGTATGAATGTCGATAAATAAAAGATCAGGATTTTTCAATATGTTGAGCAAATAACAATATTGGATATCTCAACTGATTAATTTATAATAATGTTTCTTTCTTTGAAAATGGTACAGCAAGAAATATGAGTAAAGAATAAGTTAGTTTTTTCCTTTTTCATACATAAAAGTAGATAAACATTATGAAAAATGTATCGGCAATTCATTTTTACGATTGTCGATAAGTAATCTATACGACAAAAAAAGAATGAGACGACAACAGCAGCAACGAATTGAAAAACTTCTAGTATGGCTTGACACTGTTGATAAGATCATACAATCATTTTGTAATATAATAAGTGTATTAATATCTTCATGGTTATGTTAGATTATATTCACTAGATGTAAATCAATTATTTTCGACATTGATCTTTTACGCACATCTTTAGATGAAACCGGAAAATGTTCACTTGATGGTTTACTCGTCTATATAACAGTGATTTATGCGATAATTGATATTCTGTATCATCTCTACAAAGTATCAACTATACGTTTTAAAGGTTTGCAGTTTATTCGAGATCTATTGAAAAAGCAAAAAAGAATTTATAAGACTAATGATGGTATTAATTTTACATTGGGTGTTCATAGAAACATGGTACTTTAAACGGATCGGATCTGAAGGCCCACAGATCGAGACACTTCTTGAGGGTGTGGGTGTGGGTGTGGGCCAAAGAAACAATAGCCACACCCACACCCTATTTTTCTAAAATATTTGCAAAGAAAAGTACCTAACATTTAACGTCTTCATCTGTATATTAAGTGTAGAGCTTTCGATGAATATTTTTTTTTGGAAAATTAATCTACGATTGGTATTCAATTTGGATTAAAATTCAAAAAGTTTATTTTCGTATTGAATGAAATGTCTTTAGTAACGATTCAAACGAAATAAATCAATGTCAAGAAATCTTAACTACAAAATATAATAATTTAAATAGTTGTATCAAAATTCAATGGATAGTAGCCAAATATGGAATTAGAACACATACTATATTAATTATTTCAAAATAATTAAGTAAATTTAATATATTTTCAATTAATAAATAATTCATTTGTTAATATATGAAAATTTTTGTTGTAAATTTTCTTTATTCATTAATAAAACAATTTCACAGAACAAGATTCGATTTCTAGCCTGATTTTTTCCCCTATTTATTTGATCTTTTCCTAATAGTATACACAGTATGAAGAGCTAGCACTATTACGATGTATTGACACAAAAAGATATTATAATTAATATTAAATGATTTAAATGTATGAATATAGTTCTTTTGAAATAGTAGTAATACATTGTACATAAATTTCGAGCATTATCTAGCCGCTTTTGAAAAGCTACTGGTAGATATTAACGAAAAAAAAGAAATGATAAGATATTAATAAACTAAATTCAATGTTTGCTTATTTCTTTCATATGTATGAAACTTTGTATAGTCGAGGTGTTATATCTCACAGCAGTTATATATGACTAGAGAAAGTACTCGCTGCACTACCTGAGTGAAATTTTACTCAAACCCCCGTTTTCACCCCCTGATGATCATGCCAACCACTCACCGACGTTCCTTGGGCCCTAAGAAAGCATCGTAGAAAGTTTGATGATCGTAGCTATTACAGAAGTTGAATGCATAAAGAAGAAACATTCTTCTTTATACATATAGATTTATTTATAATTTCTCATGTTTTCTTTTATGTAATAAATTAATTAAAGTACATGAAATATCGCTGATTGATTTAATTCATATATTCGACAAGACTTATTGGTCTGTATTGAATTTTATCTCTCTATTACAAAGCATCTGTTTCTTCGAATTAATCATTTATAATTATTGTGCTGTAGAAATACTAACAAAAGAAATCTTTAAATTACTTCTTGATAAATATGCTAAAAAATTGGAGTCATAGAATTATATTGGAAAGATCAATTCTCTAAGCTGATCAAGAAATTAATCAAACAAAAACGTATTGATGAAATACCTTTTCTCTATCAATATGATCACTAAATAAAATCTTTTTTTTTTTGATACATCAGATGATATTCTGAAGCTTATTCGTCTACTGTTTGCAAGCCGACTGGGAAGATAATTATTTGGTCAATTTCTCGAATACAAACTATTAGAATCATGATTAATATATGAAGAATATGCTGCGCTTAGATGTCTCAATCCGCAATACTTTGGTAAATGTATTGCCATAAACTTTTCTCGAAACCATTTACATCAATTGCACTATGGTATTTATTGAAACTATGTCAAAATTGGACTGAAGGAAACGATCTATTGGATATGTATTTTTATCTAAATCAATATACTTTAAAAATAATAGTATTGATTATTTGATCTAAATACTCTCTCAATACTGCTAATTCTAGACAGGAATGTTAATAATTGTAATTCATATTACACTGTAAGTTACGCAAATACGAAAGTCATATATTGATACTGTGTTTTATACTTTTCTATTAAGAAAAAAATTGCTCTTTACGCCTTCAGTATTTCGAAAATCTTCGCATTCAATTATTGATTATCCAGATGATTAGCGTTCTGTAACTAGAGATAGTTTTTAACTTTAACACATATATGTTTTAACGAATCGAGTTCGCATAATACTAAAGAATGTAGTTGTTTCTTCTTGTCATAATCTTGTTTCATGTAGAATTGAATACCCTTTATACTTGAATATTTCTTGAGTCCATGAAAGCGAATCAAATTTTTCTGAACCAAACCCTACCATTGTCAACGTGTTTTGAAATTCAATGCGTCGATAATGGCGGACTTTGGTTAGAAAAAGGGTGTGGGTGTGGGTATTATACTGTTTAACTATCGACACCCACACCCACGCCCACACCCACAACTAATAATTGTTCTGCAAAACTCCTTTTTTTACTTTCAAAGCTTACCTACACCCTCAAGAAAAAAACTTGTCTTTCTTCTCCGTTATGTTCTGGTTTCCAGCAGAATTTCTTTACCTGTATTACTTCATTCTCCTTCACGAACAAAACTTGCTTTTTCTTTGTTCTTACATCCTTTCCCCCGGAAAAAACCTGCCTCTTCTCCGTTATATTCTAGCTCCCAGAAGAATTTCTTTGTTTACATTACTTCATTCTCCTTCATCAACAAAAGTTATTTTTTTTAATTCTTACATCCTTTTTCTCGGAAAAAAAATCTGTCTATCTTTTCCATTATATTCTGATTTCCGGCAGAATTTATTTCCTTGCGTTGCTTCATTCTCCTTCACGAACAAAACTTGTTTTTCTTTGTTCTTAAATCTTTTTTCCCGGAAAAAAAATATTTTCCCTTCCGTACAAGGAAAAGGAAATCATTCCATAGCTCGCAAATGAGTAGTAGGTCTGGTATTGCTTTTTTGTCTCTCAACGCATACAGGTGAATGCCGAAGATCGTTTCAAGTATTTATCTATTGAGCAGAGTTTGCAACTACTTGGCAGAGTAAGGGTGAGAAAAATAATTTCACCCTCGGATACATCAACTATACTATAAAGAAAGTAATCAGTGGAGCACAGTCGATATTTAGAAGCGTTTATGGTCTAGAAGAGGGTGAGAGCAATCTTGCGGATGTAGATGAGAGCCAGGCAATGATACCCCCATATCCATCTTAGAGCAGTTACCGGAGACTTCCAAACCATTTAAGCACTATCAACATACAATCCCAAAAGGTCGTGGGATCATCGCGAGGTATCAGGGTCCAGCTTGAGGACGTAGGTTTAGATAAACAGTAGCGATTATCACACACCCACCCTTCTTTCAATGTAATAAATGTCAAATTATGAGATGTGATAATATATTCCAATTTGTAATCAGACCTACCAAGTGTACCCCATTTTGGGGGTATTGTACCTCATTTCGACACTTTCTACCGCGAAAAAAAATGTATCACCGGGGTACACTTTTTGTACCGTATTTGTATTTTTGCGTTTTTCATATTATACACCGAACTTCTTTGTTTTGTCTAAGCTATTAACTCATTGTGTTATGCTATTTTTGTTGTAAAAATCGCGAAATATACTCGGGATCGAATAGATAACACCCATGTAAAAAAACGTGAAAAATTTAATTTTCATCGATTTTTCAATGATGAAAAATCGATATAAATGGCATCATTCGTACCCGATTTTTTATCGGCAAAAATGTCAATTAAAATCTGTTTTTTTCTGAAAAATGAATAGAAACCGATTTTCATGAGTTTTTCTTAAATAATCAATTTTAATCAGGGTCATCAATATTTTTGCATAAGTGGGTGAATATCGGACTACATTGTATCTGGAAATATAATAATAGTATCACGGGTTGCTCTGCCGTTGTACTTATTATTTGTCGATGCAATGATTCTGAGAACAAGCACGAGAAGTCTCATCGATAGTTGGAAATTAGAGAAAAACAAGTTTTATTCTTCATTATGATCAAAATCGATTTCTGTTAGAAAAATCTGTTGAAGTATATTATCAGCTAAGAATTCATCGATTAAAATATATTCTTTTCAGTTATTTAATCAATGAAAATCAGCTTCTGTTATAGAAACCTATTGAAATCGATTAGAATCTGGAAGAAAGGATTTGCGATAAATTATCTGAACTATTTAATGGATTAGAATCGATTTTCATTAGAGAAATCTATTAAAACCAATTATTATTTTTAAAATTCATTGTAGTATATTGCTTTGAATGCTTTAATCGATGAAAATCGATTTTCACTGGAGAAATCTGTTAAGATCTATTATGTGTTACAGTTTAATCGATTGAAATTGATTTTTGGTCTGATTTTATCAGAAAATGTGGTATCTAATCACATTTTCTTGATTTTTCTCGGAAAATCAGTTTTAACCAAATTTTTTATAGTTTTTTTACATGGGTAGTGAAATATTATGTTACTTTCAACGAGAATAAGTTTTTAGGTAGCTTTTATTCAACTAGTCTTTTCTTAAAAAAGTTTGCGTACCTCCACGGTATACCTTATTTTAAAAAATTTATACCCCACCCGTACGCCTTTTTAAATTGGATGTACCACATTTAAGAATTAGCACTTCGAAGGCCTGATTGTATGTTCTTTTCGTTTGTTTTATAAAGTAACAACAATTGCAGCTTTTTCCTTTTTCCCAACGACGCATTTTATTGTAAAATAATGCACACAGATTAAAAAGAAAACATTCAACGTCTAGAACGAACGAAAAAAATTATAGCAAAGAGAGAGAAAAAGAATACATATAAAATCAAATAGATTTAAATGCTAGGCAATTAACCATTGTTGACACGAAACTATATTCTTCTTAATGGAAGACAACTATGGCTTCGAAAAAACAACAAAATGTAATAAAATATAAGTTATTGCGTTGTTTGTTTAAATGTATTTTGTCGACAGTCAAATCGCCGAAAAATTTTGGTGGACAGAACATTTCACCGTGTGTGTGAGAGTGAGATATTGGTGTGAGTGCAGATGTGGTTGTGGGGATAGTAGGGTTGCATGAGCAAGCGAAAGACACCCACCCATCTACAGATGAATTTGTGTTGAACAAAGTGTTTTTAATGAAATTTTATTTCGTTTTAGAAACTTCTTTTGATGTCTTTTAGTTTACTTTGAGGGTGTGGGTGGGTTGGTGTGAATGTGGGTGTTGCTGTTGTGTCTTTATCTATACCTACACACCCACACCCACATCCATACCGTCAATTTGTAAATTTTTTGTAGATGACTACTGATCCTGAATATTTTTCCTATGGCCTATCCATTAATGACAATTTACTATTATCTTCAGTCGATCGTACCAAAGTACCTACTCGAATAATACTTTCCGATGATATACGAAACTTACTAAGTAAAATCTTTTGTTCTGCTCTTGATGATGATACAGTTCATCGTGATCTTAAAACGGCATTGGATCGTATTGTATCAGTTTTGTCTTTCGAAATTACTATTGCTGGTCATCTTCATAAGACTCGTCTAAGCACAAAACTTTTCAAAATTATTCATAGCGGGCCGAACAATAAAGCTTTTCTTGCCGCAGTAGGCATAAACGCGACTAAAAGCCAAAATCAATCCATAACTATTAGCAATATAGCCAGATTTGCCGACAATACACAGGCATATCCCATGTGTTTGTGCAATAAGGTTGTCCTTGACCCTGTGTATATCAGCGAGTCAAATCCAAAACTAGAATATGATAACAAGAAAGAATATTTTGTGGAAACGAATGATCGATTGCCTGTCAAAAATGCGGTCGCTCGAGTCATTTCTAAATGGGCAAAACGAATAGAAGAGTCGACGAACGGTTTCATTGAACAGTGTCGTGACACTCTATGGTTACTTTTAGACTTTTGTCAACAAGTATTTTTACTAAGGTTTCAAAATTTAATAAAAGAAGAAACTTGGATCGACTTGTATAAAATCGTTGTGTCAGCTGCTGTTGCTTGTGTGCTTCTCGATATTTACCACAAAAGATATTCCGTAGAAAGAGAGCCTGGTGTGCGATTTATTCTCGCAAATAAATTCAATACACGTACAAACACATTTGAATATGTGTCGAAAACTTCTAATAACAGCTCAGAACGTCGAGTGCGTCGTTTTTCACAGCTTCATGCTCCTGAACCAAAGAGCATTAATGAAACGGTAGCAAAATTTACTCCAATTTTTACATCAGCTGACCTTGTGTTACCGAACGGATTGGTATCAAATCTTGCTGAGGGTAAGTTTTATAGTACTGGAACCTTTTCCTAATAAAAGCTGAATGTAATGAACTGCGTCTGTCGTGAGAGTGTGAGTGTCCTTTTTCCACCTTTCACCCATATTCTTACTCTCTTCCGCCCACATCCACACTTACCCACACCCTCAAGATGCGAGATCTCTCACACAATATTGATTTTCCTTAGTTCCGAAGCTCTCATACGAAAATCAAATTTCTTGACACTACATAGTTCCTGTTTTTAAATGATAAACAAAAATCCTGTAAGTTAAGAAGGAAACGACCAAACAATTTAAAATTTTTAGATTGGTTAGCAGTACGTATGAGCGTGTAGTACTTAAAATTTCAACTATATACGATCTTTCTTAGCTGAGTTGTAGAGTTTTCAATTTTTGATCATTTAAGCTGAGAAGAATAGAAACTGGCCTTAACTTTTCAATAAGAGTCGTCTACATCAATCCTTTTAGGCTTCTTACTATTTCGATGCCCCCTATCAAATGACCTATGATTGGAGAGAATCGGCGTTGGACGTCTCGGGAGGTTTTCTCGTTAGTGCTTAGCATATCCGTAATTAATAATATCGACAAGTATTCTAAACTAGCAAGTAAAATTACAAGCAAAGAGCGAAAAATTGTGGGGATAGAAGAGAGCTGTATGAGGGATATTGTTGAGCTGAATGTCACAGTTAAACGAAATATAAAGTTGCTGATCAATGTTCTTCGATCTATTTGCAGGATCGTCTCTTCGTAAACAATCACCTAAATCTCCATGGGAGTGTTCATCATTACTAAATTATTTGAATTCATTCAATAACACAATTGATGGTTACGGTCGGCCTACTCTAGCGTATTTCATCGAGCAAGGTATAGTATCAGCAGCTGATCAATTAATTTGTCATGTATACAACACACCTCTCAACTGTACAATTGAGTATAATCTGCATCTTCTTACGGGACTTCCACTATATACACTCCAATGGGATACAATTAAAGATGAAAATGTAACGCAATTTGTTTATAAACTGATAAAGCGCTTCAATAACTCCAGTGATGGAATTTACCATCCGTGGCATTATTTCTATGTACGTAATGGCGATCAAATGAATCTTGAACAAAAATTTCAAAAGCTGAATTTTGTATTCAGAAAAACATTCGTAGCATTTTTACTTAGATTAAAAGGCATTTGGCAAATTCTCCCATATTTTTGTCAGCATGACCGACGTCTTAAATACAAATGTTTATCTGAGGAAACCTGCGAAGCTCTGATTGCTACATACAATATGGACACCAACTTAAAACATTTACTAAATCATCGGGATATTGAAATTGAATACAAGTCCAAAACTGAAGATAATGAAATACTTGCAGAAGTATTCGCTGTCAATGACATCAAATTTGGAAGTGGCATCTGGAATACAAATATAAATTGTGCATCAAGCATAGGTAATGTAATCACTGCGTCGTAGTTGATGTGTTTATGCTTTAATAATTTGAGCATGAGAAAATACTGTACGTCTTCAGAAAACCATCTACTATTAAAACATGACATGTAGGCAAGAGAACTTTGCGTGAAATTGAATGGATTGAAGGAAATAGTCTTCTGAAGCAAATGGTTACAGGTTAACTTTATAAGATAAATCGTAGACAAAAAGGTTAGAAACAAGATTGTTTTTCTTGATACTGCTCCAAGATAAGAGCTCTTGAGGATGTGGGTGCGGGTGTGATTACTATCGTAATCCCCGATCTACATCTACCCTCAAGAGGGTTCGCGAGTGTCCTCTGTACTTTCATGAATACACACTGTGAAATTTCGTCAATTAACGAAAGTACAATGAAATTTAATCAATACACCATTGGATTTTCACCATTAGCGAGTGTTCTATTGACGAAAGCCTTATTTACGAATTTCTGATAACCTACAAATAGTAGTAACATTTTCTAAAATCAATATTTTAAGCCCACACTATCAGATCAGCGTTTTATGATGGAAAAAAACGTTTGGTGCTACTGTCAGTATAAAATTGGATATGTTTAACCCTTATTTTTCACGTTTTTAACTTTATCTAGGATCGGTATGTTGCTTTTTGCAAGCGAAAACCAATAATCAAGATATACAACACTACGTTCTAAGCGCACATCACGTGCTTGACGATTTGCCAGCGCACGATACACATATTTACCACAATATTAAAGCATCCAATTATATTAGTATTGATAAAGAGCAAGATAATCGTTTGAAGATTAGTCTTAAAAATATGGACATGTGTATTCGTCCGATAAAAGGGAAACCATTATGTGTATTGGACAATCTTGACTGTACAGCACTAGCAAAGCAAAATTTTAAACAACAAATAAATGATTTTCAGGAACAGAGAGACATGCGTAACAAAGATGATGATGGAAATACGGATGATGATGGAAATACAGACGATGATGGAAATACAGATGATGATGGAAATACAGATGATGATGGAAATACAGACGATGATGGAAATACAGATGATGATGGAAATACAGATGATGATGGAAGTTCAAACGACGATGAAGAAAAGAATAGTTTAAATACTCCTGACCCAGGTCATGCTGACCCTACGTTGGTGACAGTAGAAGACATTACAGAATTTTGCCGTATAACTCAGGCTGAGAACTCAACCAGACAAATTTCTATTTTCAAATTTGGTCCTGAAACGGGTCTAACACAAGGATATCTCGACGTCGACTTGATCAATGTTTCCAGAGATGTCAAATATAGAGTCGCAGAAAAGACACATATCAATACGGTTTCACCCTTAATTGGTGTTAATTGGCTACCCAGACCAGAAAATCTTAACAGCCAACTCGCTGAAGCACCTTTTGCTACTGACGGTGACTCTGGTAGCCTTTACTTCATGTTTTCTAGCAATGAGTGGTGTTTTGTTCCGATCGCAATGCATGTTGGAAGCCATATAGATGAACGAAGATCATACGGCGTTTTACTTAGCGCAGTTTTCAACAGCGCCAACGAGGATAAGGTACAATGTTTTTATCTGTGCTCTACCTACAATTGTAAGTATACCTTTGTAAATTTTCTTTTTACACCTTCGTAAATTTTATAACACGTTGTTTCTACAGTTAAATACGGGTATAACGTGTCCTACTATGGATGCTAAAATATAATGCACCTCGATATATTTTAGTTATCTCGAGAAGTTTAGGAATTAGAAATTTCGTTCAAGTACCATTCTACGTAGCTCCTAATGCTCTGTCTATGCTAGGATGTGGGTGAGTATGGGTGCAGATTAGAGTGAATATAAACGTGAGTGCAGGTGTTGCAACATTCTACACCCACACCGTCAAGGTGGTATCCTCATGATAAGCAACGCTTGTAAGAGGTCCGCTAGTCCGGAAACCTTTAATGTGTTTTTGGGATGAAGACTCTGTAGCCTACATATTTGTCTATTTCAGAGCCCCTGAAACTTTAGAAACCTCAGTTCGAGAACTTCTAAAAGGTTTCCAACAGTAACTAAATTGGGTATCCTCTAAAAGTTTCTAAAAAGATATATTTTTTAAAGTGCGCATGGTGGTTAAACAAAATCTATAATTTTACTTCTCCTATATTTCTCTTTCAAATAGCAAACACCGCATATTTTTCGCTGCTTTCGTTTTTAAGATAATTAAAATATATCGAGGTGCATTGTGTTTTGATGCCGATAGTAGTAAAAATGATCAGAGGTTTGATATGTTTGTTTTGTATGTATATTTGAGAATTTATAAGTCATCTTCCATCAGAACGAAGTCATTCACAAAGACTGCTGTAAGTGAAACAAACTTATGCATCGTACACTGAATCTGTCAGTGCATCTAAAATCTTCCAACGCTTGACATGAATGTTTTATCTGGGCATTCTGTTATAGAAATAGTAAAGCTTGCTTTTAACTTTTCTAGGTAATCGATGTATCAACGACAGTGTGGAATAGATGGATAAAATGATCAATTATAATGGAGTTCAGCGCTAGGTGTAAGATAAATATAACAAATCCATATAATTAACTATAAACACGTATAACAATATTCACAAGCGCATCTACACTGTCAGTATCCAACCACACAAACGCTAATCTTGTAATTCTTGCCGAGTATATTTAAAATTTACAACTGAGGAATGGGTGTGGGTGAGTGTGTAATGGCGTGAGTGAGAGTGAGGATATGGGTGTGTGTGCGTCTGTGTGTATGGGTACCATAGATATAATGCATTCACACCTACATGAAGTGAGAATGCTCAGAATTGAAATATTCTTGGCAGAAAATTTTATACAATGATCTCTTTTCGTCAAAAAAACATGAACTATTCTTTATTCAGTTATAGATTCGAACGCCACAATTTTAATAGGATTAAATTCGAAAAGTAATGGTAACATTTTTCTATCATTGATTGATAACAAAGATAAATATTAAGTTTCATTTTCGAAAAGTACTTTCTGGGAAGAAATCAAAAGGCATTTACAGCATTTTTTGAGGGTGTGGGTGTGGGTTGGGTGTGAGGGTGTGGGGTGGGTGTGGGTGTGGGTGTGTGTGTGTGAGGGTGTGGGTGTGGGTGTGGGGTGAGGGTGTGGGTGTGGGTGTGGGTGTGGGTGTGGGTGGGTGGGTGTGGGTGTGGGTGGGTGGGTGTGGGTGTGGGTGGGTGGGTGTGGGTGTGGATGGCCATATGA